TTCATCATCCTGGATAGAACTACAAACATGTGAAGATATGGTCAACTCAGTTTCCATCTGGTTTTTTAAATTAGTTGTAAACTATTGAAGTAAATTTTCGGTTTGAGAATAGCTGATTTGCTTCTCTAGACCAAACTTCTCATTTGGTATAAGTTCATGTCATCTAATTCAACTGCCATGGTTATTTATCCCCATATCAGCACAAAATTGTGAACATATTTCTTCATGTTTTGTTTTTAGTCCAGACATTAAGTTTAGCAAGATATGAACTAAGTTATGCAAATTTTACTGTTGTGGCATATTTTTAGACATCTATTGGGTGGGGGTGTTGGGTGGGGGTGTTCAGGGGTGATATAAAGACCACCTAGTTTAAACATTTCGGGTAGGCAAGTGTTGCTAGAAGGAACTCTATATTGAATGAGTGGGAACATGCAGTTGGATTAGAGGTTTGTAACGTATTAATCCAAAATAAATTATATTTGGAGTTACACCAGAGACATTCTTTGTCACCTTTTTTTCCTAGAATCTGCTGTCTTTTTAGCATCAAGCTGAGGAGATCGAGTGAGATGCTATGTTGGAAATAACTAGTAGAAATAAGAGTAGCAGAAAATATGAAAAGAAGTTGTATGACTGAAGATGTTTTCTTCTGCTATCAAAGATTTATATTGCTACTAGAAGCGATAAATGTAGTATTTAGTTGTGGAGAGTGGGGTTGGGGGGGGGGGNTTGTTGGAAATTTGGCTGCACTTCAATGTAGAAAAAAAATTGTTTGGGTGGGTAGAAGTGCAAGAAGATGTTACTAAAATGCAAATCCCATCCTAAATATAAGTATAGAGTTTGGCCTAAGTCAAAGTATCTTGTACTTTGATTGAAATCCTATATGTCAATAATCAATGTTTTGGAGGACACGTTATTCGTATAAATCTGGACTTTTAAAAGCATAAAACAAATGGCTTGCCTATCATAATCATAAATTATAAATGTGTCACAATCTTCAGTTTGGCGCCATATTGGTATTGCATATATAGAATATATTAAAAATTGTTTCTAGCTTTATAAATAAAATTTGAATTTGCGGATAGTATTGATATGCAACGTTATATGATATGAATTTGAAAAATCATTTGTTTGAAAACTAAATTTAGGCATACAATTTGGAAAACTAAATTCCACGTAAAAGGATAATACGCCAATTTTGAATTTCATTCAAGAAACTTCCTTTATAAGTCAGTCAAACTATATAATATCTTCTAAACTATTTATAAATGCATTTTTTGTGTGTTTACTTTTATATAAAGTATATCTAAGTAAAATATGGATAATAAATAAACATAAAATTATTTTAATTATTTTGAATTTTATTTTTAAAATGATTTTATTTAATTAATTTAATAATTATCTATAGTATATATTATATATTTATTTTTTACTATTATTTGTTATTTTATTTTTCGAAAAACATAATCCTAAAGATATGTGAATGAGGAAACCATGCATTAGCTATGGATGGGATGGTATCCAATTGTGCCCTACAAGATTATCCTAGACAAGAACAAGTAAACGTATCATAAGATTAGTTGAAAGTATTCAGCTGAAGGCATTAGGTAGAATTTGATTTATCAAGTATAAATGATGAGAACTACCACTAAGTTTTTTTTTTGTACGAGTGATCATAAGATTTTGTCTGAGACTCACTCTGTTATTATTACCCGCCTTAATTAATATGTTTAGGCACCATTGAATCCCGATAGAAGGATGATCTTACATCATTTAGTTTTCTTCTGAAGGTCAATCTTTTTATGAACCAGAGAAACTCAAGACTTATTACATATGATGTTATTTTCCATGTACTCTTTCTTTTATAGGAGTTCTTTGTACTATTATGATCCAATGTGAGATTTACTTGTCTTAAAATCTGTTAATAGGACCTTGACCATTTCTACTATGCTTATCAAAATCCGTGAAGTAGCCTTTGTTTCATTTTTTTAACAAGTACAGTACATCGGTTCAGGATATTGTATTAGACCTACTAAGGAATTTTATAGTTTCATTTTTTTTCCTCCTTCGAAGAGCATAGTTTACCAAGTAAATGTATTCATAAGTTGAAACTTTGCCCTTTGAAGTATAGTGAATACACTTAGTGCTGAGTGCTTTTTGCAGAGCATATTTGAGTTCCAGCTGAGACTGCAAGAATTCATTGAATTGGTAAGATCCGACAATAATATGCGAGCTATACAATATGCTCAGAGGTATCTAGCACCATGGGGAGCTACTCACATGAAAGAATTGCAGCGTGTCATTGCAACTCTTGCTTTCAGAAGTAACACTGAATGTTCAACATACAAGGTGAATATCATTTCCTGCCTCTCCAACTTTGATATTCTCACTATTTTATGAACTGTTTGTTGGTGATATTGTCTAATTGCTTAAATGCGTGGGATTGCTAGTGGCATCTTTTACTTTTGCGTAGGTTCTGTATATTGGAAATATTGAGTGTACCTGATAGAGGTTGCGTGAAAAAAGGCATAAATCATGGGTAGTATATTGAATAATAATAATAATTAAGCATCATGAAGAAGGAAAACCTGTTACCAGCACAAATGGTGCCATGGAACCATCGGATAAATCTAGCTCCAGCAGTTCTGTTCCGTTGCCTGCTCCCAGTTTTCTTCCATCGGCCAACCAACACTTTTGCATTCCCAAGTCTGAAATCTTTGTCCTCTGTCATAATTCCAAAGGATCTCATCCCTTTGGTTCAAATTCCACCTCTTGAATGTGGTGACCCTATCCACCAGATAACACGTTACTCGTCCCCTCCTAAGGATGTATAGGCAATACCTCCAACACCTGCCGTCACGCACACCACTTTCAACTTTCAAGCGGAAGGTTACATGCCAATCTTCATATGATAATTTATTTGAGAAATGCACTTGCTATTATATTTATATATATCAGCAACACTAAAACCTGTAGTTTTTAGATGTCCTTTCCAATCTCATTGGGCATCAATGGCTGAAAAGGTAGAAGATGAAGTTGCAAATGACATGGGCTGATCCAAATTCCATTTCCTCACTCTAGTCTTGAGGACAAGGCTATTTTCTAGTGTTCGGCAATGATAGTGAAATAAGGTATAAATTGTGGAAAGTATATTGAAGAATAAATAATAACTAAGCATCCAAGGAAAGAAGAATAAATCTACAGATTTTGGAGTGACTTTGGGATCTGGATTAATTGTCTTTGGAAGATAATTGTTTCCTTGCTTCTATTATTATCAGTTAAATATAATAGAGTAGTAGGAGGCAATAACAAGCACATTGTAATAGCCTTAGCTATTGGGCAAGAGTAGTTCTTGCTGGGCAGTTTAGCTGGGAAGCTTCAAGCTTCTGGTTACTTACCATTTGCATTAATAAAAAAATTCAGATTTTTTTTTTCTCAACTCTTTACACTTATCAGGTCTTCCAATCAATGTTCTAGCCTGTAGGGTTACCAGTGGTTTCACTGATTATCTAAATGTTTTTATGATAAGAGTGGTTGCATTGTAACTCTTCTTCGCTTATTATGATCTGTAGTGTTTATTTTAGGGCCTTGGCCCTTTGCCAACTTCATAACTGAAGGTACTTTCGTGTATGAGTTGTTGACCGTGTAAACTGGTCACTATTGACTTTTGATGTGTTTTAGAGTTCAGCAGCCTTCACGTACTATGTTCCAGTGACATGTGGGGTGGTTTGTATTTGTCCCACGACGATTAGTTACTGGCTGTTATTGTGTATAATGTGGGTGTAGTGTTCCCATTGAGCTAGCTTTGGGGATGAATTCATCCCAGTCCCCAACAAGGAGCAATTAGTTAATAATATTCCCTGTAATCATCAGTTCCAGCTTTACTTAGGTCTTCATATCAATAGAGTGGATTAGATATTCTACTGATCAACGAAAATGTTGAATGGAGTTTGATGATTTCTGCCTTCCAGGTGTTGTTCGAGGAAAAACAATGGGGCTACTTGGCAGAGCAATTCAAACAAGAGTTCTGCAGACTGTATGGGATGACCCTTGAGCCTTTATTAAATATATATCTACAGGCAGGCTTATCTGCATTGAAAACCCCGTATCCATACTTTCACTATCGTTTTGGTTTTCCTAGTAGGGGTCTTCAAATTTTGGTAATGACATAATTTTAATTTTCAGTATTCAAACCATACCTTGCTGAAGTACTCAGGTTGATATTAACAAATTAATGGGTTTTGGGAGAATAGGGCATGTCTATCCATGTACTTGTGCTTTGCCTTGACATTAGCTTAGATTCTGTTATGAAGATGACTGCACGAAGGAGGATCCTTTGTCACAGGAAAGTTTCCGCAAATTAGCACAACCACTTCCATATTCAAAGCAGCATCACTCAAAACTAGTCTGTTACATAAGTAAAGAGCTTATGGATACTGAGAACCCCCCTCTTGTGTTGCCGAATGGCTATGTTTATAGTACAAAGGTTTGTTATGGTTCTCATCTCATCTATTTATTTAGAAGACTTGATGTTTACATACTGGCCGTTGTTTTCATTTTGCAGGCACTCGAGGATTTGGCAAACCAGAACAATGGGAAAATCACTTGTCCAAGAACAGGTTTAGTTTGCAACTATAGCGAAGTTGTAAAAGCGTACATCTCATAAGTTCATATGCAGCTGATTACTTGTGGGCTAATATCACTATTGTCTCTAGTGGATGACTGCTTCTGCTGCTCCTGTATTTACGATGCTTGAATTGTTTGGCTTTAGGGCTCTGATGGATGTTGGACATATGTACATATGCAAATGGTTATATATTTGTGTTTGTTTCCTGTTATAATTTTGGAAAACAGAAATAAGGCATGTAAGTTACCTTTTTTTTTGTTGGAACGATAGAAGCATTATATTAATCTCAAAGGGGAACATTGATCTAATACAACCATGGCCAACAGCCAAATAAACCAAACTACCTAGCCGGAAAAAGAAAAATGGGAGGACCACGCATGAAGCGGCCTAGAATACACCTAAATAAGACAAAAAAGAAGAGGGCCAGCATAACCACTGCACTACATGTCTAGCCTGCCAACCAATTTCAAACTACAACGAACTACAAAGACTAAGAGAAATATGAAAAAGAGGACAGAACTAAAAACTGAAACAATACCAAAGCAAGAATTAGTCCTTCACAGCCCTGAACTCTTGTCAATCTTTATGTGCTCTTTTGATCAACACATGGACTGGCATTTTGACTTTGCTCAAACATCCATAGATTCCTACTTTTCCACAGCCACCACAGCAGGTAAGTGGTGAGCTGGATTCTATCTTCAGCAACCTGTGTTTTCTTGATGGTGTAGAGATACCACCACCAACTTTTGAAAGAGCAACTCACAGTATGAACTCCATCCCATTGAAGGGGTCCCAATTTCCATAGATTCTGAGCCCTTGAGCGATAAAAGAACAAATGTTTTATGGTTTCTGGAGATTCACCACAGCAATGGCACAGCACATCAATATTAAGTCCTCTTCTGAACAGATTAGTGTTGAGCAGATTAGTGCATGTAAGTTACATTGCACCTACAAGATGAATAGATGACTGCATATGGTGTTAAAAAAAATAAGTTAAAACATTGATGGCCTAAGAGATTACTTTGATGGGAGTCGAACAGTCAGAAACAAATTTACCTACTCTACACATCCGAGTATAGGGAGAGTAAGATCATAACATGTGGTGGTATTTACTTATTTCAAATAGATAATAGAATATAGGGTTTGGGAATTTATAAACGTCAAACAAACTTAAAAATGTACCAAATAAAATATTTTAAACTAAACAATATACCAATTTTATCAAAGAATGCTTATAGCCAAAGGATTTGCACGACCTTGATGCATACAGTTGATTAGTTGATCATGGATAAAATAATCAATGTTATAATTCATAAATAGTTGATTACAGTTGCTCACAAAAGTTCGTGTTTTGTATGAACACATGTAAAAGTTTGGTTTTGACTATTGAGTTTGAGATTTATCATAAACTACTACTTAACCTTTTTTTTTTCCTTTAAATTATCGTATACTACTCTTATATATTTATTTAATTCACATAATTCACATACTAATTATTATAAATATGTACTCTTTTTATTTTTTAAACTTTATAACTTTTTTATTTGTAATTTATTTATTTTTATATATAATACATCAAAATAATCATATTTTAACGATCTTCAATTTGAAATTCAAATTGCATATATAAAATAAGAATAATTTCATCTATCTTTATAAATAAAACTAATTCTATAACCAAATCAATTTTAAAAATATTAAATAAAAACATAAATTATTTTTATAAAAATAATAAAAATCTAATTCATTATTACACCATAAAATTAATATTGTAAAATTTTCAATATTATGAATTTAAAATACTTGAAAAATTAATAAACGAGAGATACCGACTTTATATATATAAAATATAATCACAATAAAATAAAACTTATTTTATTCTTCAAAAAATAAAAACAAATTTATGTAGTTGTAAATACTATCTGTTTTAGACATATATAATTTTGAACATATAATTAAAAAATATCATCTTTGACACTGATAATGTAAAGATACGGTTGTCATTTTGAATTAATTATCACTTTGTTCGTTATTTATTATTATTGTATATTAATTAGAGATAACTGCACAATAAAAATATAAATTATTTTTTTTCTTATTGTACAAATATCAATATACTTAAGTACTCGTATCGTATGCAATTATTCCCAAATAATTAGTTATAGTCATTGACGATCGTAAAACAATGAATCTATCCTATTTTTATCGGCAACAGAGAAACTTATTGATTACTATTTGTTGATACACAAAATTTTTCAACTGGAATTCAACCCACAAATATAGCCGTGACGCAATCACTACAAGATCATACCACTTCCCATAGACGTCGACCTCGTTCCTAGCTACGAGGTAACCACGTCGACATCTGTCAGAAGCAAGACCTATCCTCATTGCTAATCTCAGCCTAGCCGAGCTCAACCCTAAGCTAATGAAATAAGAGTTGCTGCCCGAATTGATTCCCACTTCCCAAAAGGATAAGCTAGTTGCCCAAGTGGGGCAAGTTGAAGCAAGTTGCCGAGACACATGTCACTATGCATGTCGTTAATCTCCCAGATAATGCCACGTCCCAATGTATAATATTTTATGGACCTGCCATTATATAAATAGAGATTTTAGGGGGCTCCAAAGAACATCAGTTTCTACGCATACCAGACTTCCTGATCCTGTAGCCAACACTATACTAGTTCCTTCCCTTTAAGCTTTCCTGTTTTCTAATTATTTCCAGCAAGCTCCAGTTTTTTTCATTGCCTTTGAAAGGCATATGTACAAAAGAGGCCGGAGAGTGGCCCATCCTTTATATAAAATTGTCATTGCAGGCACTCTACTTTTTTTTCATTAATATGATCTCTATTATCCTTGCTCCTCTCGTTAATTTTATGCTAAAACACTTTAACACTGTATAATTAACACACCACCGCTTTGGTGGACCCATAGGCAAAAACACACGTTAACAAAATGACGCTGGAGGAAAGGCACCGTCGTGCTTCTAGATTGTAACACCACGTTTTTCGTACCTTGAATTTTTCGAATAATTTTTTTTTTTTTTCTTAAAAAAATGTTTGAAAGCTTAAGGGCGCTACTACTTTAAAACTTGCAATAGCCTCGAACACTTAAAGACTTACTCTTCATCATAGCATCGCATTGTTCATCGTATAATCATCACTAAACTTCCGTAAATAAAAACTTCATTGTAATCCAAATGAACTCGGCCCATGTCTCAAGAATAAACTTATTTAAATAATCCCATAACCATAGTGTTTATAAATTAGAAAAATCTTAAAGCATATAAACTCGAAAGCGAGTTCCTTTATATTTATTTGACCACCCTCACCATCGCTCCGTTGCCAACTCGATCAACCTGGGTGTGAAAAACAATAAGGGGTGAGCATTTGCACTTACTCAGTGAGGAATACATACTACATAAACATTCAATATAATAACAAATCATATGACATCAATATGTAACAAGAATAATCATACTGCTTGGTCCCCCTGACTAATGGTGTTACCCAAAAGCCAAAAGTCTATATTTCTTGGGTCCTCCCGACGAATCGGAAGTCTCTAAATCTTGGGTCCTTCCGACAGAGGGTACTGCCAGAAGTCTTAATCATAATTAAACAAGCTACAGATCTCCACCATAGTATAAGCAATTATAAGGAATGTAAACATAGCATAGAAATTCCCCACCTCATAGTGCAGTTGACTTGATTTATGACGTATGCTCTAGAAAACCCGAGGGTTCGACTCCTCGACTATCTACATTATTGAAGGCGTATTTTAAATGACTTATTAAGAAATTTAACGTATCATAGTCTTAGAGAAAATCAATTGAATTTCCTTGCCTCGATAAAACCTCTCTTTTGAAAACAAACTTATTTAAAGTCTTGGAAATTATTGAACTTTTAGCTTGCTTAAGGATACTAATATTCATCATCTAGGGTTCCACATAACATCAATATCTCATATAATGACCACAAAATCATGCATATAATAGGTAAAATCCATTTTTAAACCTATAGCAAGAATTCAATCAAATCTGTCATGCGCGGCGTTTTTAAAACATGCACAACTTTCAGCACATAACTCATATTAGAAAGATTCAAATCTCAAAAGGATCTTAAGACATGAAGCTACAACTTTCATTTAGATCACAGAAGCAAATAAGACCATTAAGGATGTGAAATATTAGCTAACATTCAAAACCTAGATGCTGTTAGAAAATCGAAACTAACTTATGCGCTGTCCAACTAAACTGAATATAACTTTTTACTCAGAACATATTTTGGTTAAAATAAAAGTGATATGAATTACATGCAAAGGTGTTGGGTGAAGTTTATACGTTACATCCATGAGTGTCAATTGAGTTACACAATGCATGAATGTAAGATAAGTTTCATCTCATTGCATGTAATAAGATGAAGTTTCACAAAGTTGAAACTTATTGATTTAATTAGTTTAGATTAATTGAACATAAGTTTCATGTTGAGTTTAATGGTTCTTCATTCAAGAAGATGAGTTGTGAACATTAAAGAGATCATCTTACACTTGTAACCACACATGGCAAATGACACATATATATACTTCTATTCTTTGTGAAATCTTATGAAGAAAGTAGAAGGCTTGATCAATCCCAAAACCCATTTCCATTTTGTGTGTTCCTTAAAGATTTCCAAGAGAGGAAAGAAATAGAGTTTTTGGACAAAGTTCCAAAGAACTTGTTTGAGCATTGTGTTATATATTATTATTCTTGAGAGAAATATTGAATAATATAATTTGATGTTGTTGAGTGTCTCTTTCTCTATTGTTAGCTATTATTTCCAACAATCAAAAACTCTATTTACATGGAGACGGAGACGATCAAAATCATGAACCAAGACCTTGTGAAGTTGGATAGATTTGATGGTTAGAATTTCACAAGGTGGCAAGACAAGGTGAAATTCCTTCTCCACGTCCCTCAAGATATTCTATATCCTCGATCCTACCTTGTCTCCTCTACCAAAGCCAAATGAAAATGATACGCTAGAAATTATGGCTGCATGGAAGAAAAGAGAGGAAGACGAGTGAATATGCCGGGGTCATATTTTAAATGCCTTGTCTGATAGGCTATATGATCTCTACACTAATAATTCGGCTAGATAAATTTGGAAGGCTCTAGAAAACAAATATAAAACTGAAGAAGAAGGTACTAAAAAATTTCTTATCTTCTAATATTTTGATTTCAAATTTTTTGACGAAAAGCCTTTATTACCTCAAATTCATGAATTGCATATACTTGTGAATAAATTGAGAGTTTTAAAAATTGA